AAGAACTTCATTTGCCTAAAAAAGTTGCATTTCTTTATTCATGAAAAAAACAATTTAGGGCACCTGGGTGGCTCGGTTGGTTAAGCGTCTGTCTTTGGCTCAGGTCATGCTCCCAGGGTCCTGGGATGGAGTCCCATGTCAGGCTCTCTGCTCAGAGGGGAGTCTGCTTCTCTGTCCCTCCCCTGGCTGTGCTCACTGGCTCTCTCTCTTTCTCTTTCTCTCACTCTCTCTCTCAAATAAATAATTAAAATCTTTAAAAAAATTTATAAGAAGTAGCATCATGGCCTACTGTGATATTATTAAATACCTGGAGAAGAGAAATGTCTAATGAACTTTATAGTTCTGTTTCAGAAGTGGGGGGAAGTAGTTCATTTAACAGATATCAAAACTCACTATAAAGCAACTAGAATCAAAGCAGAATCAAAACAGACAGATAAATGAAAAAGAATAGGGTTCTGAAGTGGATCCAAGTCTATCTGGGAGTAGGTGTCACTGGGGAAGGATCTATAATATTAATTATACATACAATTCAAAGTAAATATAACTGGGATTGGGATAAGTAACTATACAAAAAGAAAATAATGTCAACTCCTGTCTTATAAATATCCAGAAGTAAGTTCGAGACATATTAAGAAACTAAATATAAAATAAGAACACCATAAAGATATTAGAGAAAAATTAGGAAAATATTTGTACAGCTATATAGTGAGGAAAGCTTTCTTTGGCAAGATGGAAAACTGAAGGTAAATAACTGAATACATGTTTTTAAAAACTATACTATAGATCGCTGTGTAGCTTGTTTATAAAGGAAAAAATGGGAAGGGTCAATTAAATAAATGTGTGTAACTTTCATGTAGTAAAGAGCACAGAACAGATGATCTTCTAAGAGAAAATATTTACAACACATATAAAACAATGGCTTAACATCCCTAATACACAAAGAGCTCTTGAAATTAGTTAGAAAATGATAGTAGTGAATAGGCAATTCACAGCAGAGGAACTACAAAGGGCCAATAAGCCTAAGATGTTTGACATTCACATTAGTAATGAGGGAATGAAAATTGAAACACCTGGTCATCATTTAGGGGTGAAGGGGCAGTGTTCCTGCCAGCATGATTTAACTCAAACAAGGCCGAGGTCTAGTGTTGGTAAGGCTTGGGGGGTAATCATTACTCCTGAATACGAGGGGTAGTTCTGTAAATTGCTTCAGTCCAAAAATAATCTGCCAACATATCTTAAGATATAAAAATGCAAGGAAATTTTGCCCACATTCTCAGTTCTAGGTAGTTACTGGACAGCAATATATAAACATATGTACAAGTATGCTAATTAGGGGAGGGAAGGCAGAACTGCATAGTAGAGAAGAGCATGGCGTCTCCAGATGGACTCATTTGCATTCAAATCCCAACTTGCTGTGACCTTAAGTAAGTTATTTAATCCTTATACGTCTCAACTTTCTCATCTGTAAAATGATATCTATCTTATGGAGGTTGTTTTAACAAACATTAAATGAGATAGTGCTTAGAACATTGTCTAGTAATTTTAAGACCATAATTAACATTGGCTATGATTATTATTATTTGTAATTACAAAAACAACCTGGCCGTCCATCAACAAGGAACATAATTGAACAAATGCTACTATGAAACCATTACAAATAATGAAACATATCTGTATGTATGCATGTATTTGTTATATGAAGTATATGAAGTAAAAAAGTGCAAGTTACAGTTTGATATATTGTATAACCCCAATTTCGGAATAAAAGCAAAATTAAATAATTCCCCTACAGACGTGCTTATTTTTGTGATAAGATAATAATTTGAGATATTGACCATAATTTTTTTTTTTCTAGTAGTTCACTTTTTACCTCCTTCTACCCTTACTCCCATTCAAGCCCTTGGGCTGCTCTGGGCTTGTACGCAATGAGGTATGGGTAGACAGAAGAATCATCTCAGCAACCAGTTTCCAAAAAGTCAAATTTGCAAACATTTGAGGCTTTGAGAAGAGAAGGGGGTCTCCACACTGCCTGACTGAGATAAAAATACAAACATATGAAACACTGTACAAAGATGCTCACGGAAGGTTGGAGAGGAGATGCACCCAGCTTGGAGAGAGACAAGATTGTATTGAGAGAAGAGTGATGAGTGTTGGAGGTGAGCCCAGAAGAGCAGGGTTGATGCCAGAAGCCATAGATAGACCCTGGGCAAGTGGAAAATTCCAGTGAGGCTGGTGGGATCTAAGACCAGAGGAAAATTGGGCCTCAGTTTCTGGGTGGAGGCCAAGGAAGCTGGCAAGAGTCCACGGAGGAAATGGCTGTAGAGAGTCAGGGCTGGTAGAGCCTCAGGCAGCCTGGCAGAGACTGCCATGGGTCAGGCACTGAACCACCGCACCTGACAGGGTCTGACAACAGGGACCAACACACCTGTGGGGACTGGTGGCCAAGGCCCAGATAGAGTGAACGATGTCTCAATATTACTACGGTTACCAAGGAGCAGATGCTGTCCATGCTCGACTTCCCACTCAATTCCTTGGTACTATATAAAACCCCCTGAAACGTAGACATAACTACAGGAAAAAGGAGCATAGTCCACACTAACTGAGGCTGAGTGGCCATCTAACTGATGCAAAGGAGCCTCGAACTAGAAATTAACTTGAAGAAAAATTGTTATATGTCTTCTTTATCAAAGTTGGGGACTCATATCAGTTACAGGCATGTTTATACATTTCTATACAGATAATTAAAATACAAATTGTTAAGAGTGATCGCCGAGGGGCAAGAGACTATACAGCTGTAAGGGGAAGGAGAAAGTATTAGTTTTACTTTAGATACTTCTGTAATGTCTAAACAGTTAAAATTAGTAGATATTATTTTTGTAAGTTAATCAACTGAAATAGCATGAAATGCAAAGAAAAAAACAGAAAGTTCATTATTTTGTAGTAAATTATAAAAGACTCAAAATGTTTATTTTGGGCAAATTATCAGTATTCTATACTTGGATTTACTAATTTATAAAATGAGGGGATTGAGTTAAGTAATTTATATAATCCCTTCTCTGGGATTCTCATAAGGCAGTGAGTGTCCTGTTCTTGAAAATGTACAACAGATATGGTAGAAAAGAGTCATATTTGTGAAGGATTTGGGATAAGTAAAGAAGCTTCTAAGTTAATGTTCTAGAGATAAGGACTACAGGAACCATAGTGGAAAACCAGACCTGTTCTAAGAAACAGGGTTTTGACTGTCAATCTCAGCCCTGCCAATTCTTTCCTGCATGACCTTGGGGGCCAGACGGTCTAAACACTTTGGGTTTAAACTCTTTAAACCTCTCTAAAGCAGTTTCCAAACCTGTCTGTACCTTAGAATAAGTCAGAGATTTTTTAAAAAATACACATGCCATACACCCAGTAGAATGTGTATATATGTTACCAAAAGCCATGTACAAGAATGTTCATGGTGACCCTGTTGGTAGTAACTCAAAACTAGAAAAACTCAAATGTCCTTCAAGAATAGAACGAATAAAGAAAAGGATACGATAGGGGCGCCTGGGTGGCTCAGTCGGTTAAGCGACTGCCTTCGGCTCAGGTCATGATCCTGGAGTCCCGGGATCGAGTCCCGCATCGGGCTCCCTGCTCGGCGGGGAGTCTGCTTCTCCCTCTGACCCTCCTCCGTCTCATGCTCTCTGTCTCTCATTCTCTCTCTCTCAAATAAATAAATAAAATCTTTAAAAAAAAAAAAGAAGAAAGAAAGAAAAGGATACGATAGAGCAGGGGTCAGCAAACTTTTTTTTTCTGTGAAGTGCGAGATAGCAAACGTTTCAGCTTTGACAATTACACAGTCTCTGTTGCAACTAAACTCCGCCACAATGGCCTGAAAGCAGCTGTAGACAATACAGCAACAAATTAGCCTGGCAGTGCTTTATTTACAAAACAGGACATTGACTCCCCCACCTCCCCTTACTACGTAGCAACGAAAACAAACTATATGCAATAACATAGATGAATTTCACAAACACGCTGTGGAGTAAGAGAAGCCAGATACAAGAGAACACACACTGTGATTCCATTTATATAAATTTCGAAAATAGGCAAAAGCAAGCTATGTTAGAAGTCAGAATATAGTGGTTATCTTGGGAGAGCGGTGACTAGGATGCGTGGTGACCTAGAAGGGATTGTCTTCTGGACCGGAATGCTCTACTACTGAATTTGAGACTGTGTTCCCTTGGTGAAAATTAGTTGAACTGTATGCTTACAGGATTTGCATTTCTTTTCTGATACAAGCTTTACTTCAGTGACAAGTTTGCCTAAAAGTGGATCTTTCAGGGTCTCACTGTAGGAGTCTGGGATAGTTGGGTGGGGGTGTGGCCTGAGGATCCGTCCTAATCCAGCCTTGAAAAGGTAAGTGACCTGGGCAAGGCTACTTTATTGGCGGAGCTGACAGAGCGAGCTTACAGTGTGGGGCATGGGGTGAGTCCGTTCTGCAGAAAGCAGGACACAGCACCTGTTCTTGAGAACGGACTGGTCATTAGCTAAATGAAGCCAAGCTTACATTCCAGACTTCAAAGTAGAGTGATATTTGCGCGATCACCTGGATATTCTCATTGGCCTCCACCAATGGGCAGCACCCAGTTCGGAGCTTCGCAGATTTGCAGAATTGCTGGGAATCTGCCAGAAGGCTTTCAGAACTCAGCATGAGCACAGCAAGCGGCTTTCAAGGTCGATGGTCTCTGCGTTCTTTCCAGCTCCTCGTGGATCTCATACGGGCATTGCGGTAGAGCAGACAACAGCCTGAAGTTTTGGTACAAACAGATACAACCTCACATTCTGGTTTTACAACTCAACAGAGAATTACTGAATTTTACTCGATCCTAATTTTTCTCCTTTGTAAAAGCGGCATAAAATCACCCTCTCCACCCCTGTAACAGGCAAAGGTTTTTCTTCCTCTTTTTTTACTTCAGTATTCACTGAGCCAGCATTGATGTGCCAAACACTATTAAGCCTTTTGCAAGGATTATCTCACTTAATCCTTGTCAGTGAGGAAGGTTCATTTATGATGTTATTTTATACATGAAGAAACTAGGAACTCGAGAGCGTAAGTGACCTGTCCAAAGTCACACAGGTAACAAGAGGTAGAACCAATTTCCCACTGAGGGATTCTCACCAGGAGCCTTGCCCTTAACCACAGCGACAATGCCTGGCAGCTATCACTGTATCTGGCCCATGGATGCGATCTCATAGGTGTTAATTCTGAATTTCCTCTTTCCTCAAAGAGCTATGAATGGGAGCTGAGGCCTCGCAGTCAGAAAATCTGGATTCCAGCCGCTTGGTAAGTCACTTTTATTTCCTTACCAGTATAATGAAGACATTGGATTAAGTAATTCTGAGAGATTTCTTGCAGGCTGAATGAATTTGTACTCTATGCTCCAAACAGAAAATGACTTTAAAATGTTTTCGTCCTAAATTTTATGATAATTTTGCATTTGCCTCCATAGTCTGAATTTGTTTGGATGTTTTAAAAGTAGCTACTAAATGATTTACTAGCGAAACCTCTCTCCACCACACACACATCCACCTACAGTCACCTCACCCCATGCTACAGCTCCTGTTGGTCCCTTTCCTCCCGACATACCTCACGCATGGTTGCGTATTCCACAAGGGCACACTGGAAGGGGCACCCTTGGCTTGGTTTGAAAAGCAGAGGGGTTTTTTTATTTTTTTTCAGGCCTCTGTATCTGTCCCATTTTATTGATCTATGCAATGTGGAAGCTTCTGACACAGAAGCTCTTCCCAGACCCGAGTCCCTAAAACGCATCTGTAACTGAACAAGTGATTCTCCCTAAAACAAATCAATGCATGTTTCACATCTTCCCAATTTGGCAGATAATGCTGGATTTTCTACAAACTGAAAAGCGGTGATGGTCATGTAGTTTGTGGTGATAGTGCTGATAAAATAGAACCTCATTTCTATATGGGATGGTTTCTTAGAGAAGCCAAGTTAAAACTTATGCATCAGGTTTGAGAAACATTGAAGCGACAAGTAGAGGGCAGGAAATGGTAAATTTACAGGATAAACTAAGAAGTGTTTTCATATCACTTATTTCCCTGCATTTGCCTACATCTAAAACTCAATTAATATTTAAGGGAGAATGAGTTTTGTGCAAGACACTTACAGAAATGAAAACTGAAGTAATTTGAATAATAAGTCAATATTTTCCTCTTGACACAGGACGAGCAGAGTTTCGTTATAACATTTAAAATAAGTTGTAATATATGGGCTGTACCTAGCAGCATTACATTTGAAAAAGCATACCATAAAACCACTGTGAATGTTGGAGAGCAAAATGAACAATAGAGCTGGAAGATTTAACATTCCAGTAATAAGAGTTTGGAATTCCCAGACACAGAAAAGTTGTCATTTTTATTGTTTTGCTTAGTTTGGTTTTATTCCAGGAAGTGAGGAGACACTAAGCTAGACAGTAGAGATGACAAGTCATGATGTGCACACTTCCTGTGAGACAGGAAACGCGCTCAGACCCTGCAAACGACTCTGCTTTCAGTGCCTCCATATGCTTCTTTGTGGGTAAGGCTATGCATTGTGTCCGATGAGACAAAGAGAAAAATGCAATAGGACAATATGCCTCCAAAGGAAATTGCTCTTATAGCACCAAGGGATCAATAAAGACGCTTACCATGAGGTTAATAAAGAGATATTTAGTATAAATGCTAAGGCTATTGTAGTTTCACAAAGGAATGCATAATATAATTTTTTTAGTTCCCAAATGGTGATGATTTCACACACATGCACACACACATGCACGCGCACACACACACACCTACCTATACGTATATACACATATGTGATTGGTTTTCAAGTGAGTACAGATTTTTTAAAAAATTGATCACTAAAAGTCAGTTATCAGTAATGAGTAAATTTTGAATTTGTGTTTCTGAGCTATTATGCATTTTGGCCATGTAAACCTTGTAAATTAATAACCCAAATTATAATGTAAATTATAATCCAAATAATAACGTAAATTAATAATCTTTCTTCATCATTTTGACACCGATTCATACTGTTTTTTAATTTGCCTATCTGGAAATAGCATGAAAATTTCTTCTTAAAAACTGGAATTGGCTTTAGTTGAGCTATCAGATTCCATCCAGTGCCCCAAAGGTATGCTCCTATCGCTACAAAAAAGAAAAAAAAACAAATTTATGTGTATGTATATATACATATGTAACGCATTTTTATTTTATTAAATCATGCTAGCTGAAACTTGCAAATTCATAGTAACATGAGCACAGAATTATGGTAAAACTCTTTCTTCCTCAAAATATTTCCGATGAAATTATAACAATATTATTTCAAGTCAAGCCCAAGAACTGCAACAGAATGGTATGTTTTAGCCTATTTGCTATACAGAAGGTTTTTATTGCAAAAATCCCATCTGGATTCATTTTTAAGGTATATATTTGGCCACTGGTTAAGGGGATGGAAAGTCGGCCCCCATCATTTGAAAAGAGAATTGAGGTGTTGACAGGGCCATGCTCCTTCCAAAGCCTCTAGTGGAGGATCCTTCCTCACCTCTCCCAGGTTCTGGTACCCCCAGGCATTCCTTGGCTTGTAGGAGCGAAACTCTAATCTCCGCCTCTGTGTTTACATAGCCATTTTCTCCATGTGTCTATGTTTTCATAGCATGTTCTCTGTGTGTTTGTCTCTCTCTTCTTAGAAGACAGTTGTCTTTTGGGATTAAGGGCCCACCCTACTCCATATGACCTCATCTTAACTAATTGCATCTGTAACAACTTTTATTCCAAATAATGTCAACCTGAGGTGTTGGGGTTAGGATGTCAACCCACCTTTGGGAGGGGAATACAATTCAACCTGCAACACCTGCTTTAACAGGTACTTTAGATGCTGGGATTACAGCACGGATAAAACAAAGTGCATGCCCTTTGAGTGCAAGGACATTGACATGAAACAAACAAAACCCAAGAATATCAGTTGGTGATGAGTGCTACATAGATAATTATACAATAGGGCACCTACTTGGATTGATTGGCCAGAAAGATGACTCCAGGGCGACCTTTAAGCTGAGCACCCCACAGGAAGGAAGCTGCCATGCAAAGATGGAGAAACAAGGATTATAAGCAAAGGAAAGCCATGCTCCCAGGGGGAAAAGAACCTGTTCCTGTCCCACTGCTCACAGCAAAGTGTCAGCACAAATGGTTTTCTTTCTTTCAGTGAATTTATGTATTCCTTCAAAAATGAGCTCCCTACGTTTGGGCTTCTGGTAGGTAGTTTTCTATTCAGTTTTGGATGGATGGACCAGCAACCCTAGCAATGGGACTTTTCATGCTCTGAAAAAAAGGTATTCACCTTCAGTTTGAAGATGGCATCATTTTTATGGGCTGTGAGGCTATTTGTATGGGTTGACAATTACTTTCCAAATATAACTGGAATATCATTGCAAAGAGTTATATAAAATAGGGAAAGTATTAGTGGATAGGTAAGTCCTTCTCATGACTCCTTAAAAGATGTCAGATCTGATTTGCATCCATGCATTCATCAAAGACATTGCTATCATTTATCAATCATCCTTAAATTTATCTTTAAGTTAGACGGAAGTAATGTAGAAATCACTATTTTAGTGAAATATGGCTGTACTTCACAAAAGCCACAGTTTTCTAAAAACCCCCTTTCCCTCTTTAAATTCTGGGAGGTTCTGTAGTATAGGACATAGTGATCAAAAGCTGGGCTCCAAAGTGTTTCCCCTTGAGGAAAATGAAAACGCCGTATGACAATGAAAAACTGCAGAGAAGATTTAAGGGTCAAAATCTTTTGCACCTTTTCTATGTCAATTTTGGGTTTGCATTTTTAATATTCCTAGGAAGATTCACAGAAAAAATAGGGCACTTTTTAAATCCCTGTTGTTTGTAGACATAAGCATATTTTACTCACTGAATTATTAACTTTTCCATATGCCTGTCAATTTTTAGAAAACGGCCAAGGACTTGTAAAATCACATGTCAGAATCTGCGATTCAAAGAGAGAACAAATGCACCCAGCGCCCAGAATAACCTCCGAACTGACCCAATTGAGTCTCGAATAAGGCACTTTCTAAGAACATGGTTGCTTCCCCTAACTTTCCTTGAATTTCCTCAAGCAAAATTTCACAAGGGCCAAGGCCTTTCTTCAGATACTCAAAAATTTAAAACTGCTCATCTTTTCATCGATTTTTTTTGGAGTGGTGGGAGAGTAGGAATATCATGCTACAAATCCCCAAAAATTATTCAAATAAAGAAAAACTTTCCTATGAAATGAACATTTCAAGAAACTTCTAGCAACCTGACTCTTTTCCATTGAGTTACATCTCAAATAATTGCATTAAAAGAAAAACATTAGAAGATTGAACAGAAAGTGAAGTCTACTCTATCCTTTTGGGTCATTCTGGACTAACCTAAACAAACTGGATCAGCATTCATTCATTTGTGGGATGACAAAAGCTAGTCCTCATGGTTTCCCCACCCCTTACCACCCCTACCTGTGGTTTCTGGAGGCATTTGACTCAAGCCTGGGGCATCCTGTGTCCTAGCCTGGGGAACAGGCACCATGAGGTCTGCAGCTACTAAGTGTGACCTACCAGGACAGTGTGATCTAGTGTGATCTTCCTCCAGAAAGGAGGTCAATTTGTATTTAGTTGGACAATTTTCAGAGGTCTGAGTGAAATGCTATTTCCCATCACAAATGAGTTATGAATATTTTATTAATCCTAGCTGTTCAGATAATTAAAGGAGACTGGTAAGGTCAAAGCTCACATATAAATAAGCTGTTCAGAGTCCATTGCTTGTGGTTGCTGAGAATTATGATTTATTCTATGGCTTATTCCAGGGAAAGGATATGGGTGTGAATATGTTTCCAGAGGTAGGAAGAAAGATGGGAGGCCAAAACATAGAGGACCCTTTTTCTAAGACAACTGTAGGAAAGTTACCATTTTTCTCTTCTCTTTTTATATCACAATCAAAAAGACACCTCATTTCTTTGGTTCTAGAAGTGCATTACAGAAACAGGTACGAGAGCCTGTTGGCTCTTTGGTGGTAGTTTCCTTTTGGGCCTCTCAAATTTTATACATGAGCAGTTAATGAAGACTTAGTGTGTGTAGAAAAAAAAAATTTTACCCTTGAGGTAATTTGTAGCTTCAAGGAGCAAAGAAAAAAAAAATGTCAGCAAAGGAAAGGAAATAGTGACTTACTCAGGGTCGAAACAAATGCAATCTGCTGTTTTAGGGGGAACGACTTGTTGATACAAGTGAAGGAGGGCTTTCT